ACTGAACGAGAGTAGTAAAATATTCCACACTGACTATGCACAACAAAAGACACGGTTAGCACGGAAAGAAGAGATCATTACGTTTTCGTTTGCTTGACAGGGAACTTGTCTTCAGCTTGCTTTAACCACATATAATTTGAAGCTTCAATCCACTGTGGATGGACCAAAAACTTCTTCTCTTTCACTGCCCAACGAGACTTCTCTGTTCCAGCGTCTGTTGAAACCACATGTGTCACTGACGGGTCCAATTCTGTTGAACAAGCGGCTCCCAACTGCTCTGCCATCTTCCACAGCTGATGATTCTCGGCCTGGAATTTTGAAGGAAAAACACGGCTGAAAACAATTTTACACCCCTTTAAGATTTCCTTCCGAAGAGTTTTCAACACCTACAAATAACATTCACAAGAATCCATATTAAGAATCCTTGCAGACCTCCTGCATCAAAGTTGGATTGCGGTGAAAGCACCAGAAACAAATCACTCCAACAAAGATATATTCCAAATAAGCAGACAAGAAAAGAGTGTCAAGTTTTAGTGGTTCCTGAATAAAATTCTTCACCTGCCTCACATCTCTGTCAATAAGATTGTCCTTCGATTCCTACCAAATGGTTCACCCACAATTGATCAGCTCATAACAAAATGAAATTTTTTATCATTATAGAGACAGGCAGCAGCAGTACTTACATAAAAGAACATATTGTGGGTTCGCTTAAGAACTTCAAGAACAGTTGCAAGAGCTCCTTCAGGCTCACTTTCATCACTCTTCAACTCTGAAAGAGACTTGCAATGGAACCCAAATTGGTGACAACTCGATCTAAAGAAATGATATCTTTCCATCAATATTAAATTGTCCTTGTGCTTTGTCCATGCCTACAATAATGGATAGCAACATTGATAACCCTTCAAAAGATAAACAGATTCAAAGACCATTAAATTCATAGCAAGTGTATCCAGACATAAAGGAGTCAAGGACGTCAGGTACTTACATTTTCGGTATCATCAAGGATCAAAGCAGCACTTTCCTGGCCAAGCACAACATCTAGACCCTTTTGATGTTTTTGGGTGCCATCATCACGTGATATCACTCTATCACCGAAGTACTCTTTCCTGGGATCAAGCAGTTTAGCCATTTCCAGTGCATAGGCTCGTTCACCCATTGTGTATATGTACATCTCGAACATTTCGCTGGCCTCCTTTAAAAATTTCCTAACAAAGGGCCTCAACTTGGTCATCATATGCATAACGTCCACTCTGAAGAGGCTACCGTTTGAAACATCTACATGTAGCACAGCGGAGCGACAATTAAGTTGGGGAAAAACATAAGAGTATGCACATCCATGTGCACACGATACTATGGTAAATGAATCAAATCAAATAACACCTCATCAACCTTGTTTTATGTCAGAAGCGTGCTACAGAAAATAAAACTAGAGAACCTGTCTATAGTTTGCAAAGTCCAACAGGGACAAGAAACACCCCACAAAGAAAGGTGTATACATTAATTGTGTTACAAAAGCAAAAGACATGAAGGGAAAACATTGGATACCTTGCAGAGAATCAGTTTGGCTGTGTAAATATTCTTCTTCTGCCGTCATATGATTCAGATGGGTGGAATTTAGCAGCGTGTGATCTAGATCAAGTACCAAGTAAAGTTTCTTAAGGTGTAACGATTTCTTAATGTCTGTGCTGCGTACCCGGTCAATTTCATCATTATTAAGCCAGAAGTCCTGCAGAAACATATAAATTCCAATTTATATCAATGTAAAAAGAAGATAGCAACAGATTGAGTAGTCATTCTACATATAACTGAAAATGAATATATGGAAAATTTATGTTTCTTTCCTAACAGTAAGTTTATCTTTTACATCAGGGATAGGTAATTCAAAAATTAAAAGAAAGAACTGACAGGAACTTAATAATGCCTCTACAAAACAAATTAATAGAAAACCATATGCATGTATACTATCAATATTTAAGCAAAAACATCCAAAATTCTTCTATCTACCAATTTGCAATCTAAAAGAGTACCTTGTGTATGTACCCAAGTGGAACACCAGACTTCTCATCCACCCTCTGGCCACAAACTATACACAAATCTTTTACTGAACCGGGATGAGTGCAGATATCCGTCTTTGGGGATGCTTCTACACATAATAACATGATGAATACAATATTATGCACCTAAAGGCAAAAACAGGATGCTCACATCTATCCTCTGAGAATCCTTCAGCACATAATAATTGCAACATTCTTATTCAATCCATACTTCTTCTAAAGACTCCACTTGTTTCTACATTAAAATTAAATAAATAAAAGCATTTCTGCAAAGCTTTTTCCATTTGAAACTTTTTCTCATGTTTGTTTGAGTAGAAACAAGAAAAAATGAGTATTTCTGAACAGTAATTTTAAGTTGGTCTTATGACCAGGCAGGGATTTGTTGTTTAAGACAGTTCACAGCATTTCACCCATTATTAGAAACCTTCTTGCAGTGCAAGGAGTTGAAAGGGTACAAATCAAAACGCTATCCAACTGAGTTGAAAAAGTTACCTGAGTTTTCTTCTACAAATACTTGTGAAGTGGACCCATGAGTTTTGTCTATGCTTCCAAGATTCTCTACCTTGCGCCTTTTTGTACTGCAAGGTAATTCATAAGTTGCATCCACGTAAAATTTTTGAACGCTAAATCAACTTTAACCTGCAGTTTTACAGAAAACTCATACTACATTAATCATTAAAGAAAGGAGATTTAAACACCTCCTCTCACTTCCATCATCGCTCTCATAATCAGCTTCTTCATCTGGTGAGGAATGCGAAGAACCAGAACCCAGTGCTCTCTCAAGAAACCCAGTAAAGTCATCACTGCTAGACGAATGTACCGGAGATTCGGCAAGACTCATCTAAATAAAACCCTTCACATATGTTAATCTCCAGATGGATTTGATGAGGGGAATTAATGCATGCAGCAGAAGATGCACATAGAGACAACCTTACAAAGATATTAATCACTGAAAATGATGAAAACTCACATGCAGTAATACTGGTGACTTAACCAGTGAAGCAATTTAAGCTAAGCTCAGAACGTTATAGCTAATTTACATCCTATCTAGGAAAACATGGTATCAACAACTTGCACCAAGACTAGGCTACTGGCATGTTCCAGAGTTTCGAGCAATATGCTTTTTTTATTTGGAAACGAAGTGTTTCAGTATGTACTTGTTCACAGAATGATAATGTGCAAAATAGCTTAATAACTGCACCTTCTACTGCAGCAAGATTGGAAAGGGCATATGCTAGAGGGCAATGAGGCCATGCTACATAAAAATTTATTGTGGTATACACAAACCTCATCAATTGCAACAACTTTGGAAGTGAGAGTGATTGTTCTTATGGAGATTCAGAGCCCGTTAACAATATGTCAGCCTAGTTAACTATTATTCTAATCCTCAATTCTAACGCTCTGTAGTAAATATGCCTCAGGCCTCTCTGTAGTTAATGTGCCTCAGAGAGGCAACGCCGATGAATCCACCAAGAAGAATCTAAATTCTTCATATCATGATTACAATGTTAGTATCATGATAATCAAAGATTGATGACGGTGAAAAAATCTGAGGATTGGAAATTATGAAGGTTTGTCAAATATTTAAGAGTGTTCTCAAACACGTCATCATTGATCAATAAATTGCCTGTTCTAGCAATATTACTTGAGAAGAGTATATAATTAGCACATTTACTACTGTTCCTCAATAATTTCTTCAAGAAAAAAGAAAACTTATAGAGGAGGGTATTACCGCAGTTGTCCCCTACAGCTAAGCCGAGGTAGAGAGAAATGTAGTTACTGAAAGTCTAGAGTAAGGAAAAACCAATTTCATAAATATGTTTCTCCCCATTTTGTATTTTGATCAGTGAAGATCTTCTGCAAACTCCAAACCTTTCTATCAGAAGACAATCTAGCGAAAGCAAAGGGATCTACTCACTTCACTGATAATCAACTACATATTCACATTGTACAAATCATTACAAAGCATAACTTGCAATTCTAATCTCTCTCACACACACTCACACACACACACACACAGAGACCAAATACTCAACAAGAATCACGGCAAGAAGTAACCACATTATAAATAACCGAATAATCAGTAATAAAATGGGCAGCAACGAAAGATATTGATTTAACAAGTGATAATAAGAAAGCTAAAGTATTTACCAGAAATTCACATGACAGATAAAATTTAAAGACGCATGAAGAAAAAGAATTAGTGAACATACCGCGACCAAGAATTTACAGGAGATTTGAGAGTTGACCAAGAAGAAAAGCTTTCTTGTGCGGATGGGTTCCGACAGTGTTGGAATGGATGCGTTGGTGGGGTTAGGGTTGCAGAGTGATAAAAGAAAGCCTCGTCAAAATTTTGAACATTGGAGAAGAGAGAAAAGAGGAGAGAGAGAGAGAGGATGGAAAAGCGGGTTTGATAAAGACAGACAGAGGGTGTAATATGAAGAGATGAGCAATGGTATTGTTGGTATTTAATCTGACCCTTGTACTAAGTACTCTTACCGCGCGCCTACCAAAATAGCATAGTTGCGTTTATTTTATTTTATCTTTTTTATCTATTAAAACTACAAATTGAGATTTAAAAAAGCTACTAGCGCGAGATGAAATTCTCAAGTCCAACTTCGGTTGCTAAGGAAACCATCTCCCATCACAAATAATGGAATATGAATCCTTTGTTCTTGTTCTTTGCATTGATTCAAATTGGGATTTTGTTCTTGTTCGCTGATGTTGTCATTGTTGTTGGGTTTTAGTCCACCCCAAGAGCTCCTCGCGGCTTTGATAACCCGATCCATCGACTGATGTACTCCCCACACTGCACAGCTACTACTTTTTTGTTGTTTGTTTATTTTATTTCACCTCTTTCAAAGACGGAAGCTTTATTCGGGTCGCAAGAGTTCATGTATTTCAAACATAAAACACATATATTCCACAAGACAAACAACATATAATTTTTTTTGGTTGTAATTATTTCCCTTTATATTTGTAAGAGCTACAAAGTACACTGAAATAATTATTGGTCACAAACTCACAATGTCCTCCTAGACTTGTTAGCAGGACCAATAAATGTCCCTAATGAAACATATTTAGTTATTTACAGTAAAAGGAGGGGAAAAAAACAAAAGAAATACTGTAAAATTTTAAAAAGTTGGAAGAAGATTAACACAAGCACATGAACATGATAGAGGCTTTATCTAGAATCCTTCTTTGGTTTGGTAATATTATTATCCACTTGAGATTGCACATGCCTTTGTCTTAGTCTTTCTGCTCCTAGTGCTTCTTCCCACTTTTCTTCACCCCCTGCATCATCCTCATATTCTTCTTCTTCTTCTTCTTCTTCTTCCACCCACTCTTCCGTCACCAATTTCTGTTGATAGTATCGGAAGGCCACCACCAATATAAACGCTGCAAAACAACCCCCAATGACTTTGAATATTATAAGAACAAAACACCCCCACCAATATACATATTCTATTGTTTGAAATTACAAGAAAAAATAGTTTGGGTTTGTTCGTTTACCAGCCCATATTCGAGCCACGACGGACGACAGGTTCCAAACCAGTAGAAATATGGCAACGGTCAAGGCCTTCTTGTGAGTGCATGATTCCCAAGCATCCCGAAACCGTCGAATCCAAAATTTAGCTTCACGTAAATAAATTCCAGTGTACGTTAGGTCATCTCTCATTGTTGTTATCCACATGTCACAATATGAAGAATTGAAATGTCATTGTTGCTTGTAATCTACTGAAGAATTTCATGATAGCGCTGCTCTCTTATCTTGTTATGATGGTATTGGATTCTCCTAAATTACCCCGTTGGGCTAGAACACATAAAGATTGAGGCCTCTCCAACACCCCCAACTCTAGTAAGAGCGTATGAAAGTGGACCCTAACAACTATTATTTTGTTGTCGGCCCCAACCAATATTAAGCAGTATAATTGCCGGGGGAGAAAAGGAGGCCTAACGGTAAATGGGTCCAGTTTACAGAGATGGGCTCAGTAAACTGCTTATATAAAATGCAGGACTATCGCTCTCTCATAACAGAAAAACTTTCTTGTAACAGGGATAGCATGCTACGAAAGTCTCTATCCCATCATAGAGCCGTTACATGATGAGCTAGAGCCTAGAGCTAGAGCCTAGTGGTAAGTAAATAAGGTTAGGTGAGTTTTGGTTGTGAAAATGCGTACTTGAAATGTATTGGACCGACAGAAATTATGCGTAAGCAATGTAGGTGGAGGAGATTAAAAATGAAAGGAAATCGCTTTGCCGGTGTCAAAATTGTGGAAGAATTGAATTGAATGACATTAATGATCCCATCCCATGCATTAAAAACAAGTGTGGTTATTGGAGGAATGATTTACCGTAAACAGTTAACTGGGCTGAGTACAAAGAGCAGACTTTTGGCAGGGTGAAAACTCCGAAAAAGCCTGTCAATTAGCACAACGAAGCGAGCGTCAGTGGAAAAGTTAGAACAACATCTCCTCACTCAGACTTGGAGTTGCAGAGAATTTGACAGTTGTCTCTCTCTCCTGCTTTGGCTGCTTGCCAACTTATAATAAAAATAAAATTAAATAAATAAAAGCAGCAGACAGATACTGTTTCACTCCTTTACTTTACTCTTCTCTCTCAGTTTTCCACTAATCAAATTGGTTTTACATGCTATTAATAATCCATTCTTTTTCTTTTAAAAAGAAGAATACCAAGAAAAAAGAAGAAGCAAAAGACTCTGATTATGAATGTGAGTGAACTTACCCACTTTGGACATCGTCCAAATGGTTATGGAGCTGCCACACCTGGCCAGAACAAAGAGCAGCACTGCCAACTGCAAACGTTATTACAATTTAGCCTATTATCTTTCCTTCCTCACTGCAACATTGCTAAAAAGAAATAAACATAAAAGAAGGACAAGAAAGAAAGTTACCTTAATTGTGGTAGCAGGATCCCCAGAAAATAAAGCTTTCATCTTTAGGAGGAGCTCATTCAAGTAAGGGAGAACCAGTTTTAGCAACCACATTGCTTCTTCTTCGCCCACCACATAGTTTGCATTATCTACTTCAACAGCTCCCCTGCCATTCAATTTCCAAAATAAATTTTAAAAAAGCATGTTGATAAGGGAGAAATTCGGTAACATACTATAGCACTAATATGTTGATAAAATTTTAAAAAGCTTTACCTGCAGATAATGGACTTAAAGAGGAAGATGGCACCTAGATAAAGAAGCCCCATATAGGATATGACAGAAATAAAGCTGCAGGAGAAAAAGATCAAACAGACTTAGATTAATGCTATGCTTCCAAGGAAATGCAGTATTCAAGGTGTTGGTTGATCTCTTTTATTGAGAACTTTCCTGACCTGATATTAAGATCCTTGGTGTAGGAGGATGATAGTATCACAAATGCTCCCATTCCAAATACAAAAACCGATCTTGATATATCTTTCCACATAATTAAATCCACTGAGAAAAATAACAAGAAGTTAAAAAAAGGGAATGCTATAATTGAAACCATTTGCAGTAGAAATTGCAATTCAACATGTCAGGAATATGAAAACTCACCCAAACTTTGCAATCTGCTGTGTGTTTCTTGGAAGCTGGTATGGTTATGGTACTCATTTGAAGCTGCAACTAATTGATTGGTAAAAACAGAAACAGTCAAGACTTAACACAAAGGAACAATCCCAAGAAACTCAAATTCCAAAAAATAAATAAATAAATAATGCTACATTAGAATTTGAAAGAAAAGAAGAACTTACACGAAGTTTGTTTGGGGATGTTTGAATGAACTGTTGCACGTTTTATAACAGGAAGTGGTTTTGTCAAGTTTAAGGAGATGGGTTCTGGCTTCTGATTTTGATGAACTTGATAAAGCTTTTTCACTTCTTTGCGGTCAAGGTGAAGAAGCTTCTTGACCTCATTCACTTTCACAACCTTCTCTTCATTCACAACCTTGGTGGTCAATTTCTCTTCTGTTGCATTGACTTCCTTAATATCAACGCTTTTCTTTTCAACCTCAACCTCAATTTCCTCATCCACCTCTTCCTCCAATTCATCTCCATCATCTTCTTCATCACCCTCTTGATCATCACCATCATGCACCGATGCTTTTGGATCAGATTTGAGCACATCCACATTGCTCTCGCCGCTTGAAATGACCATTTCTTGGCACACACCGAACTCCTTGCAATTCTCCTCTGATCCACTGTTTTCAATCTCAACTGGGCTTTTCTCAATTACCTCAACAGGCGTATCAATTTCCTTATCAGATTCATCCAAGGCCTTATTGGACTCAGATTTCTCTTTTCCCAATTGAATTGCATTACCAGAAGCATCAAGTCGCTTATTACACTCTGATTTTACCTTCCTTAACTGAGCTGAATTTTTCTCAATTCCCACACTAGCTTCACCCAAATCACTAGCACTTTTCAGTAATTCATTCCTTGGTTTCCTAATCCCAACTGAGCTTCTCTCATTTTTATCAGAAGCAGCAGCACCAATCTCCTTGCTTGCCTCAGATCTAAGTCTTCTCAGCTGAGTTGGGCTCTTCTTGATCCCATCAACAGACACACTCAGTTCCTTGCACTGTTGGTCAGAATTCTTCAAAGACTCTGTTTTTGCTTTGGATATCTGAATTGGGTTCTTCTCAAAACCTTCAGAGGTGTCAGATTTCCAAGTCTTTCTCTTGCCAGCAGCAGTCAGTGCACCACCAGCTTGACCTCTCTTCGACCTTGTACGAGTTCCAGCAACCCCATTGCTAGCATTACTCTGATCTTCAGAATTCTCCTGATCGCCATTGAAGACCTTAATCCCACCTTTGACTTCATCAATCTTCATTCTGCTCTCCCACACAGACCCTGCAACCACACCACTCCTTACCCCGTCTCTCCTTCTACCTACATCCATTGCCCTTTTATATATATCGAGGTAATCTCTCTTTAGCAATGAACAGTAAAATAGGACATATAGATGGCACCCGTCATGACTGGATAAAAAGAAAGCTTTAGGCGGAAGAAATGGCAGTTGGTGGGGCGTGAAACATTGGGATCTCTCTCTCTCTCTCTGCCTTTGAAAAGGAAAGCAAGTGAGAGAGCATGAAAGAGTACCGGTCTTCTACTAGCTAGATTGTGTTGTTAATAGTCGTATCTTGTAAGGCACTGGGTCACCGACCCACTGGGTTTCTTCTTCTTTTTTCTCTCTCTGTGTGTGTGTGTGTTTTTTTTTCATAAAATTTTTTGTGGATTGATGATGTGCGAGTGTGAGTTTTATAAAGTAAAGTGAACAAAAAGTGAGAGATAAATAATGGTTTAGGGGTTGAATGATTAACGATGATCTATTTTGCTCCTTTTTTGGGGGTATTGATTCCTTCTCTTAAGCCTGCTTATAGCTTTTGTATCGGAGGATCTCTATGAACACTGTGACCGAGGCAACCAAAAGTCATCCCTCACATGCAAATGGAGAACCTTGCTTCCTAATTTTACAGAGGGATGAGAGAGGTGGACTTTGGAAGTATTTGGTGATTTGTTGTGTTGGCAATAGTTACATTTGCAAATGTGGTGTGCCCTCTCCATTGTTGCATCCAAATTTTAACTCCTCCTTCCTGTACATTAGAGTCGTTTAAAATGCGAACTCCTTCCTGTACATTAGAGTCATTTAAAATGTAGAACGAGATAATAGTTTCATTTCCTGCAACCAAAACCCATTCAGTCTAATATGGCCAAGCTCCTCCTCCTTCTCCTTCACACATCCAATCTAATGCATACATAGGGACAGAAGCTTTTCTTTTACTTTTGTATTGGAGATGTTAACTTGATGCTCTATTGATTTGTGCCTGCCCAGTAAATTATGGCACAGTATGGATAAAGCAAAAGGCCAAAAGGGATGCCAACAGCAACAGCTAACGTGAGGAAGCTTCATATCATACCTTTTCTCCTGACATCACTTTATAGATAAATATAGTCTCCTTGTATCGATGGATTTTTCAAATAATTTTATATAAAGGACACTATTTAGGACACTCTACAATTTTTTTTTCAATAATCAAAATAATCTATTTTTTAGGTCTTTATTTATAGATCATTTTTGCATAAAATTAAACAAATTGAAAATCATTTAGACATATAATTATGTCATATAAATTAATGAACACAGTGCTTCAAAAAAGTATTAAAATTTCAATAATTTAATTAAGTTGTGAACCAATATCGAATTCAAATAATTTCATTGCATTTCAAATTCATATAGCTGTGCATTATGATGCATAAGCTAATCGGTGATCCATTTAATGCAGGCATTGGCAGCTAGCTAAACAACCTAATTATTACCCCATCTAGATAGAAAAGTAAAAAAGCAATTTTACTGCTTTGATTATTATTGCTTTGCCTTTGCTTTGCCTTTGCTCTCCCTTTTCCCTTAAACATGATTTTTCAGTGAGTGACGTGCACAAATATTGATGGGATGGAAACTTTTTTACCAAAGTTAAGAAGGGAAAGGTAACTCGCGTATACGGATACTATGAAGGTTTGAATCCATAATCATTTGAGAGCACGTAAATCCAAATGAAAAATTAAAATGCTGCACTGCACGCATTTATGTATTTAGCATTTAGTAGGAAATCCACTATGGCAAAGGGATGGATAAGGACAACTACCGGGATGCAAATCAATTTCTCCCACACAAAAAATAAAATAAAAGTATATTTGTTAAAAGACAAGGCCATGGGAGTGATGTTTGACTAACTGATTGATGCTGACATGGAATCCAACACCAACAACATTGTTTACGTTACACAACTATTATGAATGAATAAATTTATTTGTTGTGTATAAAATAAAACTATCAAGTGTTAAAATTACATTAAGGACTTCAATCATAGTCCTTAACTCTGTATTAAAATGTAATGTCGATGTTGAAAATTCTTCACGGAATCGCACTTTAATCATTCATTTTATGAATCGCAAGATTATCAGCGCACAAGTATTTATCATTTGATTTGATTTGATGCACTTATAAATAAATAAATAAATTAGCGTGGGGCCACCACATGCTGGAATCGGCATACGTGGCCAAATAATAGGTAATGCTGCAGCATTCACATCATACCCCGACTGTAAATTGTAATATGTTTTTCAGCCCAACTCTCACCGGCTACCGCTGCCTCCAAAACCCACCGACACATACCCAATTAATTTTTTTTTTTTAAACTATTTCTTCTGTTTTTAATAAGGAAAAAATAATGATAACCTGGCAGGAAATGAAGGACCAATGTTTTATTTTGGTTTTGTGCACACCGTAACCTGTGAAAAACCCTAATATTTATATTGTTTGAGGAGGGGGCTGGACGTTGTTCAGTCTATGGGGATTTGCTTTGCCTTGCTTTGGTATTTGGTAGCAAATCACCAACAACAAAAAAAAAAGCTTGTTAACTTCCATAATGCTATGGTATCATATGGTAATGGGATTGAAAGAGAAGGAAGCAAATCATATACATATACAGCTGAGCTGTCCTTAAATTATTTATTTATTTATATATTTAAGACGTTATATTGATGAGATGAGAGAATCGTACAGTCATTGCGCTATTAGTCAAAGATAACAAAAAGTATTATTCCCTTTGTATGAAACTCTCTCTCCGTATAAAGAGCTGGGCAGTGGGCAGAATTTGTAACGTTGCGGGCACGTGATTTACCAGTACTGTTTGTTGGTGTTGACGACTTGGTAATCTCCCACGCACCAGTGCACCACCTAAAACGCACGTGACAACGACCCCGATCCAATGACACAAATTAATACTATTTAACGTTTTAATAATGAGGTTTTGGTAGAGTGGGTGGCAAAGCCCAAATATAAAAAACTAACTCGCAACAAACCCAGCCCACAAGTCAATCAAAGTCGCATTTTGTTTTTGTTGATGAGCAATAACATAACTACCTTAAAGTACCATACCAAAGTGTTGTAAATGTCTTCCACGTTTGATATTGCTGCTATAAAGCTTAGACCATAAACAAACAAAGTGACGTATATACTTATAGTTGGGATTTCAATCCCCAATTTCATATTCAAGTTTCAAGTTTGGAAACCAATCTCGATGTCTCAACTGAATTTGACAAATTTAGTTTTAGATGCAACAACAAAACACTGCCCAACTCCAACAACACAAGTCTGTCTCTAAGTGTTGGTTAGTTTAATTTAATACATTACAATTCATTCGATATATTTTTAATTGTATAATTTATGTTTATTTAATTAGTTACGAATTTGCAGTCCCACGTCTCAGGCTTGGCTCCTTGGGCCTACTGGAATAGAGGGTAACGAAACCAAATAGAGCCCCTCTAAAAGCATACCAAATTATCAATGAAAAAAATAAAAAAACTAAGTGAGCAAATTAAAACATATTAAATTTATAGAAAGCTTTGGGATGGGAACTATGACAAAAATCCCTTCGTTTTATTTACAGCAATAAAAGAAACTGGCGCATCATCTATATATCGTACAAATCGCCTACTCAAAATCTGCATTATTGAAACTCTCCTATACGTACCTGGTCCAATACGAACAATAAAAGGCGCCTCTCGGGGGACAAAATCAGCCTTGCATTGCAGCATCATATTCTGTCACTTCATCACAACTCTATACCTACATCCGAGACTCTAGCTAATTTACATTCTAATCCCAATATCGATCAAAATCTATGCCCTCTTGGCAATGCAAGTGGGAAAATGAGAAAAGGAAAAAGAAACTATTTCTGCTCAATCTAATGCTCATATTATAATTTTTGTCCGAGATGAGGTGCGCGGCAGATTAGAAACTGGATCATTATGTATTGCCACTCTTGATTGGATTACGCGACAATCGTGCAGACTCCTTTGAAGCACCCATCTTGGGCTTCTCGCTTTCTGCTGCTTTCTTCTTTTCAATCTCACTCTGCTTGCAGTTTTCATCATGGGCTCTGATGAACATTCTAACAAAGTTCAGCAAAGTTGAGACAACTGCAGCAGTAAATTGAAATGGTTAAAAAGGTAGCACGTGATTACAGTGATTATAGTTTAATGCTGACTACATTCTATTAAGCACACCACCATATACTCATGGTGGATTTTTCAAGAATTGACAAACCACCACATACATGGCCATCAGTGACCCAAGGAAAAAAAGAGAGGATAGCAGTCTTGACTTTTGTCGGCAGAGAAGACAACAGTACTCTTATGTTTAGAAATTAAAATGGCGCCAATATTTGAATATCACATGATGAAGGAAGATGGTCAGTCTCTTTATAAACGGTCCATATCGTAAACAAGCCCCTAGTGGAATGGAAGGTCTAGAACTCTTGGTGAATACCTTGTTCGAAAGGGCAGCGAGCAGGATCCTCTCCAAAATAAAGAATCAGTGCATCCACATTTCTACCCTGCCACGTTCAGCTCCTAGTCAAGAATACTACATCAAACATTATAAAACCTTGAATCAGTGCTCATCAAGCAAAGACTTACCACAGTAGAATATAGTGAAGCCAAAGTCCTCACTTCCGCTTCAGCAAAACGGAGGAACTCCTTTAGAATCTGAAGGTTATGAGAAAAACTACAAGTCAAAGCCTGAACGTCAAGCATAATATCTGTGACTGTTATTACTGCCACAAAATTACCTTACGGAAATTTTCTGATATAGGACCATCATTTTCTGAGGTGGATAGTTCCTGTACAACTTTCTCTAATCCTTTACTTACAGCTTGCATTTCCTCTGCCAAAAATTTCAATTGTATCTATAACGCATAGAAAAGTCGGTCAATAGATACCCAAAAAAATCCTGAAAATTATGGACCAGACACAAAAAGAATACCTTTGACGCAGGTTCTAAGCTGGCTAGGCCTTTAGAGAAATCTAGAACCTCTGGTAGTTGGTCAATGAGTACCTAGAGGCAAGACCAAACAAACCAGAAAAATGCATATTAAAAAGTAAATTCAAAGAAATACACACAAACAAGATTTTGCATTCCACCGAACTACAACACAGTTGAGAATGTACTTTAACAAACATACAACTGCAGTAGCACTCAGAAAAAAATGTAATGATAAAACCATAATTAAAACACACGGTCTAACAAAGATAGTCCATAAGAATCTACCTTACAAAGATAGTGCATAAGAGTCATCTTGTGGTTCCTTGCGCGAGTCTCAATGAGTTTAAGAAGGCTATCCAACCTAAATCCGATAGCAGAGCCTAAAATATAACATCAACTATTACACTCAGAAGGAATTAAATTAGTAGTACAAATCAGCAGCATAAAAACTGTTGCATGTGTAATTCCGACCGAACCCGTGAAATATGAATGAATATGAGCCTGGATTCAGACAAAGTATTGAAATATGTGCTTGATCTTATGATATTGTATGATGCTAAGATGACAATTCAAATTAATTTCAACCTACCCCGAGCTGTCCCCTGGTTCAGAGCATTTCCTAGTGAAAGAATTGTCTGCATAATTCTTTTCAATTTGACAGAATTCCTGATCTGATAAAGACCACATGTAGCAAGAAAAATGAGACTTCAATAATCTTTGAATGATTGCCATCAATGGTTGAGGAAAAATAAGGATGAACTTGCCTCTTCTGAAGCAGAGTTCACAACATTCAAGCTATTTCTAAGGTCAGAGACCTACATGGCAGTTATGTACCATCGTTAAGTCTTAATATAAAACCCAAACAATATACTATTAAGATGATAAAAATGTTAGTTTACCTGAGAAGAGAATTGTATTTTGAATGAAAAAACTCTGAGCTTTGATTCTACTCGAGGTACTTTCATTAACTCTAAGAGGAACTGCCATCAACATTTTGAAATCAGTAAAGGAGTCCACGTGTATTAATGCATAAAAAGTACACCAGATAATAACTCGATCATCAATTTGATGATGACTCTAAATGTGTTTACAATTCTAAGAACCCCATATCCACCATCAACTACTTCTAAGAAAACAGACAACAAATTAAACCTCAGAATAACCCATGAACATGATATGTAATGTTGTATATCAAGTAGTGTTTGGATGATTATTCATCCTGTTTACGAGGCCATGATTAACTAGCATAATGCAACAGTGATATCCTGCAAACCTGTTCACATTTTCCTAACTTCTCCTTTTCTCCAGTATAGCCCTGAAAACATAATTATAGATTACAACCTTGAAATGAATTAGCAAACCTTTTATCTTGAGTAACAGTTTTGATGTACCTTAAGCAGTTCCATCTCCTCTTTTGTTGGACAGAACTTTATGAGGTTCTCAACCTGGTCAGCATCCAATGCTGTATCTTCCAGGGCAAGCACTGATTTCTGTCAATGTTACAGAAGAAGGCATATTGACAAGGATAACCAATAATCTGATGAAAGAATCCACTACTGTGTGATGCTTCTAAGACCATACAACTCAAATAGAAAAATATTGCTTTAATGCTGAAAGAAGGTTGCTTAGAATTACAGCACTGTCTGTGAGACACCACTGCTTAGTGATAAGAGGTGATACATGCTACAGTAGTTGGCAATGGCACCTCAATCATCACTAGTAGAGAACTGAAGAGTTGAATGCAACCATTCTGGCAGCAAATGGGGAGAAGTTTACTAAAGTTGGAAAAGACAAATATAACAATACACACCATAAAATGCCTCTGTACGGAATAAGATGTTTTATGTTGCAACTTAAACGGAATAAAGTTCAAGTACCAACTAATGTGAAAAATATAGCTACATAATGACACCACAATAAAGGAGTGGAATAAAATAAAATATTTATAAGAAAAAAACCATAGCGGTTCTTAAGACTGCCATCATTTAAAGCCATTACCCATGCCTTTGTTGGCTATCATTCAACTACTTCAAATATTTGGTCAGATATCGTGCCCATAATGAATTTACAATTCAGTAGTTAGAGTCTTTTTCAGTTTTTAAATTTCACGATGCACACACACTGTGTATGTTCATGTGTTTTGGACAGTATTGATTACATCAAGCATCCATAGATTTGAGTTCTATAGAGGTTGAAAATTAGCCCGGAGTAAATCTTAACTACAAATTATTTGTGTACAAATTTGTAAAGTACGATCAAGCTTACCATTAACTCATTCAACGGAACCTTCACCTTTGAAAGCATGATTTCACAGTTATATGCACGTCTGTGGTCAATCTGCATTAAACAAATAAAAATCTAGATATAGATACGATTTTCATGATAATATAGCGAACCAGGCTGAGATGCAAGCCTGAAAACAAAACACATATAGCTCATTCATGACATGACCGCTATGAAGTATAAGGATGAACACAAACCACGTCAATAACAAAAATCCATATAGGCAACACGTTCTTCATCAACTGAAGGTTGAAAGAAATTTACCAGTTGAACTTTATCAGATTTAGGGGCAACTGAACCCTGTGTAGTTGATTTCCTGCCATGATCTGAAGTTGGAACTGCCGCTGAGAAAAGATTCTCAAGCTCTGATATGTCAATCTCTGGAGCTCTGTCTCAATAAAATAAATAAGAATGTCAGACGCTGCAAGATTTACATGTCATAAGTCTTCTCTTATAGCAAGTTAGTCCATACTTGGAGGCTTCTCCAGATTTTTGTGCCTCAGCCCATAAGCTTCCCTGAACTGCTCTTGATAGTTTCAACCAGTGCAATGGCTTCAGTTTCTTTGCATTATTATTTTTTGAACTTATGGTACGTGATAGACGTCCTTTCGCATTACCCGGGGAAATAATTGGTGGCGGTGGGGGATTCCCTGTCTTCGAGCCTCCTTTACCAAAAGGAGGTGGAGCAGGGGGGGCAGAAGGAACTGATGCAATGGCAGCAGTAGGTGGTGGTGGTGGCACTGGAGATGAATTTGTAGTGCCTCCAGCTTGCCCTGAGTGAGTAGGAGGAGGAGGAGGTGGAGGTGGAGGACGTCCAGAACCATCAGCAAGGTTCTCTTTCAAAGGCAGCGTTGGAGGAGGTGGTGGAGGAGTTGGAGAAGGCCGAGCTGACGTAGTAATTTGAGAATGTGGAGGAGCGGATGGTGGATCAGGTAAAACACTGCCAGAAATGGTACCTGAGATTGGCATCCCATGGGCACCTGGATGACTAGTAATAGATGGATGGGTTCCATCCTGTGTATAGGTTTCAGAGTCTTTGGAAAGTGATGAGTCCTCAGGTTTTGAAACTGATGGCGGCACTTGCTGTGGGGGAGGAGAAGAAAGAGTTTTTATAGTAGAAGTAGCCAAGAAAGGTCTCAGTGGAGGAGGTGATGAAGGTGTTGGTTCTGTAATTGAGACACTATTGACTTCTGCAGATACGGGTAGACGTGAAACATTCAAGGTTGCATCTGGGACAGCAGGATATGCAGTGACTGAAAGGGAGACTTCCTGTCTCCCAGAAAAGTCATGATCATTTAACAGAGGTTTTATGCCACTAGCTTGGCAGGTGTTTTGATATTTTGGCGTGGGCTCAGGTAAATCTTTCCTGGAATTAGAGGAAACGGGGGTTGATTGAGAAGGTTGGGGCATCTTCTGGCACACCGAATCATGTTGATTGGGTGACTCTAGTGCAGTATGAATGTCTTCAGGTTTACCATCCTGTTTACTCACAGCAGTATCTGGAGACTGCATATGTGAGGCCACATGGCTAAATATCTCCTGAACTTGAGTGAATGCTTCCATTGGGGTTGACTGAGAAGGTCGGGGCATCTGCTGGCATACTGAATCACATTTGTTGGGTGGCTGAAGTGCGGTATGAATGTCTTGAGGTTTAGCTTCCTGTTTACTCGCAGTGGTACTTGGAGAATGCGCAGGTGAGGCCACATGGTTAAAGATCTCTTGAACTTGAGCGAATGCTCCCATTGGGGTTGACTGAGAAGGTTGGGGTATATGCTGGGATACTGAATCACATTGACTGGATAGCTGAATTGCAGTATGAATGTCTTGGGGTTTGGCTTCCTGTTTACTCACAGTGGTATCTGGAGATTGCAAAGGTGAGGCCACTGGATGCACCTCAGCCAAGGAGAGAAGGGTCTTAGAATTATTTTCTAGATTTAACTGTTTCTTTTTCTTTTGGATATTTCTTGGACTTGATTCCTGCAAGGAAGTGTCATTTCCAGTACTTTGGGAAGAATCATTGTCCAACTTTTCATGGGCGATGTTTGATGCACCCATTTGTTGTAAAGCGTTTAGTGTGGCATCGACCTTGGGATCTAACCAATCCACATAGTTAAAGATCTCCTGTACTTGAGCAAACGCTTCCATTGGAAGGCCCTCTTTATCCTCAAAGCATGAAATACCACCCAGAATAATGGATGCAGTCTTGGCAGCATCCATCTCTGAAAAAAGGATCTTAAACCATATGGTAGCCAAACAATTTGTCAGGAAAAAAACAGCAAAAGAATCAAAGGCAATCAGAAGAAGCAGAGACACACCTCTACTCTGAAGTTCTTTGGAAATTGTTCCTTAGCATCCCACAACATGTCAATTTCATCACGGTTGAGCATCAAAATATTAGACCTAATAAAAGCTGTATTAAACATGATGCGGAACATCATCTCTTCACGTTCCGTGTCATCATGTAAGCTAATGCACTCTACCACAACATCACCTTGAATATGGCAATTAATGTCCATTTTAACCAGTTCACATTCTGCCTGCATTGGTTTTGAACATTTAAGGATTAGACCACATCTTAGTTGCATTATATATGAAATATAATTGGGAAAAAACATATCAGGAAAGTGAAGTTCCGCACAGATCAAAGCTAAGAAGATAAGACTTGAAGTTTTTGCTTCTCAAACTCACTACCGATCAAAGCTCCATGAAACCAATCCTGGTCCGTCACCCAACTTGCACAACAAATACCTCTTTGATCTAATCTTGTGAGTTAATTACATCAAATTAAGTTTTAGTTGACCAATATTAGACCTATTAGGATCCCAGTCAAGATCAAGACAAGTTAAAACTTAAACATTATCCACTAATTGTCAAATCTCCAAAAAAAAGTACGTCAGGAACCAAATGTAACCAATGCCATAGTTTGGATAGTACAAAAGTTTGCTTCAGGAAGAACTGGTGGCTTTTTTCTTTTATAGTTTTTTTTTTTTTTTTTTTTTATAAAAAAAAAATTTTTTTAAAAAAAAAAAAAAAAAAAAAAAAAATCGACTTATGGGCAAACTGGACCACACCGGACTGATTAATTTTTCATCAAAATCAAACCAAATCAGACCAGAAAAATAGTGCCAGTTCCGGTTTCAATTTGGAGTAAAAATCAAACCGAATCAGACCTGGTCGTTGGATTAATGGTTCCATTGGCCTAGGGCTGCAAACCAGACAGGTAAGACATCTCCTAGTTGAAATACAATTCGGCATCAGTTCAGATAAGTAGGCAATATAAGGCTCTAAGCCTTGCCCCTTCAATGCAAGGTATCTTCCCTCAAAATCAGCACAGGTTTGACCTAAGTCAGATCCCAAATTACACCATTTCAAAACAATTGAGAACAAACATGTTAAAGCTAGGTAAGTCATCTCAAGGTAGACATTTTCACATTAATGAAAAGCAAAGTATGGACAAGACAAATGAACCTCATCACATTTGACTGATTATAAGGGAATGATGAACCTAATCACATATGAACGTATAGTCAACATCCATTTAGGTCAGCAACCATTTAAATGAGTATATGATTAAGTCTCAGGAAATAAAGAGAGATAACATCACCTGCTTGTAAGCCCGGATGGTATGGCTTCTTTTTGGAGTTGAGTATAAGACTCTGGGAGTTCGATCAGTAACAACAAAAGGGTCCTGTCCATAAATGCGAAATAGAGGACGGCAACCACCCTCCCCATCAAAATTAGGAATAAATCTAAAGATGACGCAGTCCAAGGTAAGCGCTCTATCCAGAGGAGGCCATTCCAAGGCTACATTCCTCCTCGAAACGTATTGTAGATACCTCAGTTGAGAAGGGATTGGATTTAGCGGGGATAAAAAATGCAAAAGCTCATGGGGAGCCTGCCTATAAACCATGTCCAACGTCCTCTGCTCTCCACTATACTGTTTCCGGTAAATCAAGAGGGCAGCTAGCATGAAAGCTAAAACAGGCCAACCTCCACGTTCACAGTGCATCAACAGCACATTATGCTGCCCAAGTGCTAGCCAACTTTCACTTGATCTAAGAAAGTGATGGATCAACTCAAGTGTGAGCACCGGACAACCTTCAAAGTGTCGTGGGTAATCCATTATCGTCATATCATACTCAGACAAGATGCTGGCCATCTGGCTTTGTGCCACTCCATCATGAAAATTGAACACCAAGAATGAAGCATCAGGTAGGTGATCTTGGAGTTGACCAACTATCCCACCTATGTAAACTTTATAGTTTTCTTCCTTCCAAGCATCGGTAGTGAAGCAGCAATCAAAAACTATATGTAGACAAAGAAACAGCCGCTTACGGTCAGGTCATACTACATGCCTAGGCCATAACCCCTTCACATAAGATGGCATCATCACTGTGAGAGTCTTATGCAATTAGCAAGTGTTAAAGCAATCTGAACACACCCATCTACATTCAAGACTGTTCCTTAATCATCCCTCTTTCATCAAATGCAATACAGTACATGTATTTCAAAAGTTTTATAGACGAGCTGCTGCTGCTGCTGCTTCTTTTTTATTATTTTATTTATGTTGAGTAGACATAAAAATACGCAAGTGTTCATTATTTAAATTAACAGAAAACATTGCTTAATTGACTGTAAACATAGTTAAATTTGGATTGGTACCATTCAATTAAGCACACAATGTAGCCACTGCCAAACCGGACTCTATATATTATATATCATGTTTCATGTGTGTGTGTAAATGTTCGACAGCCATCACAGAAGAAAGAAGAAAAAAGAAATATCGAATTCGAAACGCACCGTAAACTCGCTCAGAGATCTCGAAAAGCCCATCAGGCGGCTTCCGGTAGAACAATTTGCGCAGCAACGCCATCTCTGCTGTCCAATTATTCCCAAACTCTCCCTCCTATCAAAATCAAAATCACCCTGCCTACAATTGCCGATCAATCACGTATATATTTGCATATATATGTATACACATATGCATATATAAAAATGTAATGTTTTAAAGTCGAAATGAGGAATTTGGTAGAGGAAAAGGAATTCGGTACAGTATTTAGTTGGCTTCTGAGAAAAAGAATTTCGGATTTTTTTGCTGTTTTGGCTGGGTTAGAATTTCTGTCTGTGGATTAGATTGTCGACGAAGAAGACGACGACGAAGAGTGTGATAGATAATTTGGTTTGTTACACTTTTTTTTGGGGGGTTCTGTTTGGTACCATTTTCCTCTGCAGCTGTGGGATTTCACCAACCGACTTGGCACTGACATCTCCAGATGACGTGGACATCATCACTGCTCGACGTGTATGTCATATTATCCATCGACGTGGCTCCTTCTATTTTCCCTTCCCTTATTTTTGTCTTTTTTTGACATTTTATACAATAATTTTTGTGTTGACAAAAAATAATAATAATTCTAAAGATGGGCCTAAGTAGGGAGCTGAGCCCTAGCCCAAGGCATGTGGACTGGACAAATCAGTTTTGTTGCTAGATCCAAGTGATGATCGCAGACTCAATTTGAGATTTGGCCTTAACCTTCTCAATTAGATCCAAAATGATAATCTACTGAATGCTTAGTTGGAGTGATTTCAATAATGTTAAATGAATTACCATAAGAAATATAATGTTAAATGAATGATTCAATAATCAAATTGAAGGGTGTTGGGTTTAGGAAATCAATTCCTCATCTCTCTCATGCGCAAGAGAGAACAAAACCCTTAATCAAATTGAAGGGTCTACAAGAATATTATTATATTTAACGCGTATAGCCGCCCGGCTATACTCTTTGAATATATTCGAATATTTTAGCAATATTCCCGAGCGGCTGTACTCTTAAAATCTTATATTTAAACAGTATAGCCGGACGGCTAGACCCTTTCAATACATTTGAATATTTTAAACATTATAGCCGTGCGGCTGTACTCTTTAAACATATTATCTTTTAATTATTATTAAATATTGAAAAAAGAAAAAACACAAAGTCCACAAAATTGTATAGCCAGCGGCTAGACTCTATGAATATATTTGAATATTTTAAAAGTATAGCCGTGCGGCGGTACTCTTAAAATCTTATATTTAAACAGTATAGCCGGACGGCTAGACCCTTTCAATATATTTGAGCCGCGCGGCTGTACTCTTTAAATATATTATCTTTTAATTATTATTTAATATTGAAAATGAAAAACACAAAGTCCACAAAATTGTATAGCCGGCGGCTAGACTCTATGAATATATTGGAATATTTTAAAAGTATAGCCGTACGGCTATAAACTTTGCATATATTTGAATATTTAAAACGTATAGCCGAGCGGCTATACTCTATGAATATATTCGAATATTTTAAAGGTATAGCCGCGCGCGATACTCGTTGAATATATTTGAATATTTCAAGAGTATAGCCGGCCGGCTATATGCTAGGAATATATTAGAATATTTTAAATGTATAGCCGTGCGGCTGTAATATTATATTTAAATAGTATAGCCGTTCGGCTATACATTCAAATAATTAAACAGTATAGCCGCTCGGCTAGACCCTTTAAATAAGGACGATTTTAAAGTGCAGCCAGCTTTTCTTCCGTTTCAATTGGAATTGAGAGTTTCTGAGGAAATTCAAAGTCTTTGGGAACTGGTTTTCGTGATTTTGATGTTAATCGAAAACCCATTGATGGGATTTTGAATTTGAAGTGATTGGATTGGTGCTAAGGGCCTCTCACGGGGAGGGTTTCATTTTATTTCGCATGAGGCAGAAAATTATTTCTCATGCATGGATGAACCAAACGCAGCCTAAGTGGTTAAGCATAGTTACCACTGCATCTGAGTTTGTGTGTTCAAAACCCCTTCCTCCAATATCGCCGCCTAAGATTTAAACACCCTAATATCACCGCCTAAGATTTCCTAATTGTTAATGGAATCAAGTTATGTTTCCTAAGGAAGTGGAAGAATTACTTGGTGATTCTTTCACCCGGTTCGCCGCCTAAGATCTAAGCCCAAAACCTCCTTGATAAATAAATAAGAAGTTCCATGTCAACATTTTGAATACATAACAAGAAAAATGCAATTCCACTTATGCACAATTTTCTAGTGGTTACAACAATTTATTTATTTTTGTCTCATACTAAACTTTGTGTTTCTTCAAGTTTTCGTACAATTTCTTCCATGTATGGCCTTTCCCGTTCACTTGGAGCTGTACATCTAACAGCTATGGACAATACATTTCGAAATTCAGAGGAAACATAAGCCCCATTTAAACGTGGATCCGCCATGCCACTTATACTTGCTCCTTTTAGCATTGCATCCCTTGCCTGTACGAATTGCAACACACCAATTAGGCTAGCTACATAATTTCATCACTGATAGACTATATTTGGGATTTAGAGCAAACCTCCTCAACCACAGATTTTGATTTCTTTCCTGTCAAAACTTGAAGCAGAACAACCCCGAAATCGAAGACGTCGTTTTTTATGGTTTGTAGCCCTTTTGTTTCATTAGGCTTGCAGTTTGATAAGTTGGAGTCTAATATCTTGGCTTCAAGTTTCTCATTCAGAAATATGTTTGATAACTGAGCCATCAGCCAAGCAATGCAAGTGCATGGTCATTGGTTAGTGATAACCTCTCAAACTCAAAAGACTAGAGACCATATCATTTGAATATTAAATACTAAATCAAATTAAATTACCTTTAAATCTCCATGAACCATTTTAGCCAAGGCATTGGCATGAAGAAAACATAAACCCCGAGCAATGCCGATCGATATCTGCATTCGATGTTCCCATGTCAAGATTAGTGTCCTCCCATTACCTGCTAGATAATGTGACTGCATAAATGCACATAAATGGCACAAGAGTAGAATCATCAAATTATCAAGACAAGAGGCAATCATTTGATTGTAGGTTAAACTTTACCAAGAAGCCAGCCTGCTAGGTTACCGTTTACGCAATACTCATAAACAAGACAGTGCTCTCCTGTATCACAATATCCCAAAGTGGTCACCACGTTAGGATGCCTTATCTTGGATTTCCTTATTACCTCTTCCCCGAAATTTTGAACTTTAATGATCCCCTGATTAAGTCTCTTAATTGTTGTTGGCATTCCACTAGGCATTATCCCAACATAGAATATCCCTGAAAGAATCTGTGAGTTTCAGCTGTAACCAATTTTGAGTGTTTTGAATTAAATCATATATATTGATCAGTCAGCATCATATGGTTCACAATTCATACCAAGTGTTGCCTCTCCAATCAAGTTTGAATCATCAAAATGGTTGGTAGCTTTCAACACTTCATCTTGTGAGAATAGGTAAAGACCAGAGCAGTTAAAGAAACTCCTGGATTCTTCCTCTACTGTCTTCTTGGAGACTAAAACCGCAACAACAAATATATATGAGTCTTTCTTCTTAATTTTCGATCTTTGGAAGAGGCTAATTAAAAGAATGCTCACCGGATAGGATTTCGATATCTTTTTTGCTTGCATATTGCAGTTGCTTCCTGGTTATCTTATAAAGAATCGGAGTTATAATCACCAGTGCTGCTGCCAGGATTACTATGGCAAGAAGCTTCTTGGAACCCAAGATATGAGCTTTTATACATTTGTTATTTGTTGTGTTAGAACTAAATGGGATGACATGCAACTATAGAAACAAAAAGAACAACATTGAAGGTAACCTCTTTTATGCTACCTTTGTTTTGATTCTGTGTAGGGCCTATAGGCCATGGAGACTCTGCAGAAACACAGGAATAAAATGAACAATCTGTGAAACAACATAATTAATGCTTCACATACCAGGATATGGATCATATCTTACTTATTTCATTCCACAAACAAGAAAAAGTTCCGCGAACCAAGTTTGGGGATTGAGCATCTGAGCTAGCAAGACTAACAAGTAGAGCTTCAGCGCACCTGTTACCTGATCTATTTCTTTCTTTTAGAGCTTGCAATGATTGCCTATAAGAAACAACACAATCGAAACACGCTTCATCACTATGATTACTGCTGGATAAGCCTTTACAATTGGACCGTAAAGCATTGTACATGTCAACCCCAAGAAGACCAATGACTGAATCAACATTGTTTGAGCACAGGTTTGGTGTTGAAGAAGAGATAAAATCTTGGAGATCACAGTTGTTAAGATTGGCTCTATGGTGAAGGTTTCGGAATATGTTGGTGCAATTCTGAGCTTCAGCAAACTCAAGGAATATGGATCTAGATTGACTAGCTTTTATAGTCATTGCTTGGTATAGAGATTGAAGGGCAGAGCTGCAACATGACTGCATTACTACTAAAGGTGTGAAAGAACCTTCTGCTAGGTCAAAGCACTGGCTTTGGGCTTCATAAGGGAATCTGGTAAAATCCAATGTGCAAGTACCTGGGGGAAAATGAGAAAAAAGTAAATAAAAAAAAACAAAGTGATGTTAAGAAATTGTATATATCCCATGTATCTATGTTGTTATTGGTATTGGTTTTGCATATGCTTACTTGAACTAATCATGTGGGGCTTGCAAAAAAGTGTGAATAAGAACAGGAAAATAAAGGGAGTGGCCATTGTGCTGTGATGTGAGCACTGCTTTGAGGTTTCTGGGCTGAACTTTTTTTGTACCACAAAAACTTTGAGGGAAAATGATATTTAGAATCCTCTAGGAATTAATGTGATAAATATGACCCCTTGAATTGATATTTGAAGTATATTGATTATATATCAGCAGAGCATCTCAATGTCATGGCCTAAAAGATGGATAATCCTTTGAGGTGTAGACAAGTACTTTGACTCAGTCTGAGAATAAGAACCTTTGAGACTATCATTTTGTTTCTTGGAAGATGGTGTCCTCAGCCGGCTGGATAGGATTAAGTTTGTGAGTGTGGCCGTGTGTGAGCTCATAAATTCTTCTTTGAAAGGGTTGAAAGGCTTCAGTCCAAACAAAAAGAATTGAAAAGAGAATTGAAAATTTTAAAAGGTTTCTTGACCATTGATCAATCATGCAAAGAGAAAGATATAATCGATTTGTTACTTTCTTGGCAATATGTAATATGTCATCTGATTTTGTTGTTTGTTCTTGTATTAATTTGAAAGAGTCAAATAAATATGGCAAATTTTCATGTATGCTCAATTATTTATTTATTTATTTTTTTCTAATGTGAAGGTATTCATAAGGAAGTACAACTCTAAATAAAATATGAAATAAATCTAAATTATAATAGAAAATAAATCTTAATTACAATATGACTAAATAAACTGATAAGAAACCAAAATCTTAACTAAGTAAAGACTCGCTAACAAAAACATCATAACTCGTTTGGGACTGATACTCTATGAAGTACTTTTGCTTATAAGCGCTTCTAACAAAAGCGCTTTTATTATAAAAATCTTGAATTTTCTTAAAAAAGTAAAGTGCTTCGTAGAAAAGCACTTAGGAGTGCTTCCTGAAGAAGCACATAGAAGGTGCTTCTCCAGAAAGCGCTTCTATGACCCAGAAGCGCTTCTCAACTTTTCTGCCAAACGCTGTCAGAAGCGCTTTTAGTATCAAAAAACGCTTTTGGCTCTTTCACAAGCACTCTCAAACAGACCCTATGGGTAGAAGTTTGAGCTTTTGAATCCGTTAAAGGCTTCCTTTCATGACATACATTGTCAACTAAACCCAAGGTCTGATGTACATAAATAAGAAGGCCCGACAGGTAAGTCCATTATCAACAAGTCCAAGAATGATTATTCTGAAATCGTATCATTACAAGGAAAAGGTAATTAATATCCTCGCAAAGGCAATGCTCCTAGTTCTAGGACATATGAAAGTCGTTTACCATGTTTTCTCCTAGGCCCTAGGGACCTATAGAAGTAAGTTGGATTCGTGCAAAGTGTGGATGGATCCAATCAAATTATGAAAGTGGTTTGGTCTCACCATAACAACAGCTATTCATTCATATCCACAAAATTGTGTGTAGGGTTTGACAAATTTTATGGCCAATTCATGCATTCAACTCAACATTAGTCTGAGGTTACTCCGCTTTCTGTATAGACTCTGGCCTCGTTCGGATTGAAATATTGAATTGGGCTGGCTGAATTGGAGTCCAATCCTATTCATGTATGCATCAAACAATAGACTAAAATTAACATTGTTTTAAGAAATCAATATTTTATTTTATAACAATAATCATATGCAAAATACCAACTTTTTGCCTCAGTGCCTTATTTTTTTCTTCAATATATTTCTTCCTCTTTTTTCGTTATATATTTTTTTTCTAGTCAAAATTTCTCTTTATCATGTCAAATTCTTTTTTTTTTTTTTGGCGAGAAAAAGGGGGTAAACCCCAACAACAGACAAACTAAGCAGCCCCAGTACCCACAAGACGAGCTCTACTAATACCAAGCAGATCATCCAGCGTATGCTGGATTTATATCATAAACAGAAATTTAAGACCTAGTTAGTGTGTGATACAATTAAGTCCACTAAACAATAGACCGGATCCATATCCATTTTAATGGAAAAAGTCTCATCAAGTCTAGCCCACCAAATAGAGCCTCTACGTTTTCACTGAAATTATCATTATTCTTAAGAAAACTCAACTCCAAAATGTAATTTAAAATAATTTTGTTTTGAAGTGTTAGGGTAAACTCGTATCTCGTCCCAAAAAAAACTCATATCAATGGATTTAAATATCTCTGTTTCTGTATAGGAAAATAGACCTCACATTTATTTATGTGAACTTTTTTCTTCATAGTTTTGTTTTGTGCTTACAACTTGACGAGAAGACGAGTGAAAACAACAAGCGGCTATGGTGAGTTGAGACTCTATCCACACGAGTGAGGCGGTCGGTGACAAAGTCAAAAAAATTCCAACACAGAAATAGAAATACAACACAAGGCAAGCGAGCGGCACGAGTAGTTGGCACTGCCTTTTTAAGACTCTCCACCCAAAAAAGCCTATCTTTTTGACAATTCATTCAACAATCTCAAAGTTCAAAGCTTTAAAGAGGTTCTGAAGTGGGGGTCCCTGCGAACTGGGATTTCTGCAATTTCTGCTCAAAATGGCTTGCAGACTTGCAGATTCTATGTTCCTCTCCATGGTAAGCTATGCCATTTGCTCTTCTATATTGTACCCAATTGCTTATTTTTTCTCATTTTGCTCTTCCTTTTTAGATTTGAATGGTGAGTTGTGTTCTTAAATTCTTACTCTCTCTTCTTGGTCTGAGTTGCAGGGCCCCCATCAAAATCCAATTCGAACCCAAAGAATTGGAACCCATTATTCTTCAGGTGTATTTTATAGACTGTCATCATTATTTGTGACGTATTAATATTATCAATGTGAATGGCAACTTACAATGCTTATTGTGAGGTTCAGGAATCTGCTATTTGAAATGGGACAGCCTTCCCCAAAAGGGCATCAAACGTCAACGGTTTTTAACTCGTAGAAATTGGACGACGGTTGCAAAAGCGGTTGCCATTCCAGTTGCACCATCTTCACCAGACAATGCTGAGTATAGAAAACAATTATCTGAAAGTTATGGTTTCAAACAAATTGGAGAACCACTCCCAGATAATGTTACGCTGAAGCATGTCATTGATACCCTTCCGAAAAAGGTATTGTTTTTCATTCTCAGAGCCATACCGTCAATGCTACTTATACTTATTGTTTGAATTCGTATCTGATGCATCTGTTTTTTTATTGTTGACAATTCAGCTGGGGATCTGAGTTTGAGTTAATAGTCTGTTCAATTGAGTAAATTTATTGAATTTCATCTGAGAAGCTTCATATTGCATTGTTGCAAATCTTTCTATTTTTCCTGGCTGGTATCATTGGAAGCTTCATTCTTTTACCTCTCTTAAACATAGAAATAAAAATTCCTTTTTGAATAGTACCTGGGGGAGATAAAATATAAGCGCAAAGTAACTAATAATTCTGGCTTACAATACAGTTGAGAAATGTAAACAATCTCAAATGTAACTACTTTCTGTTTGTTTTTCTATTATAAGGTTTTTGAGATTGATGATGTGAAAGCATGGAAGTCAGTTCTAATATCTGCCACTTCCTATGCATTCGGGCTCTATATGATTTCAAAAGCCCCATGGTATCTACTTCCTCTGGCTTGGGCATGGACAGGGACTGCAGTTACTGGGGTCTGTTCAAAACCCATCTCTTCATCTTATATTGGTTCTAGTAACTTACTTCGCTCTCCTTTTTTCATTTATTGTGGTATATATAAGCCAACTCATTCCTTTTTTTTCTTCCCCAATTGTGAAGTTTTTTGTTATAGGTCATGATTGTGCGCACAAATCATTCTCAAGAAACAAATTAGTAGAAGACATTGTTGGAACACTGGCCTTTTTGCCGTTAATATACCCATACGAACCATGGCGGTTTAAGCATGATCGACATCATGCAAAAACAAACATGTCTGTATGGTTTCCCCGAAGCATATATTTATTTATTTTATGTTAATTAATTTATGTGTTTATTAATGGCTTCATTTTAGCACATCACATGTCTTGAAAAAGAGTATTCTATATTCAATTCATACTCTTCCCAATGGTGCAGCGTGATAACAAGAGCTGGAAAAAATACAGAAACAATCATTCTAAAATTAAAGAGCATTAGAATGAACTATCATGTCAGACTTTTTAGTGAAAATAATGTTTGGCTTGTGAATGAAAGCCACTAATATTACTGAATGTAGTCTTAGAAATTTTTTTTGTTATAGGCATACTACTTCCTTGGTTTAAGTATATTTCTAACTCATAACTTCTTGGCTTTTCCTTTCTACCTCATCATCCATATAGGTTGATTGAGGATACAGCTTGGCAGCCTATTGCTAAAGAAGAGTTTGATTCATCTCCTCTTTTTCGCCGGGCAATCATGTATGGATATGGCCCATTTCGGCCCTGGATGTCAATAGCTCATTGGTAGGTAACTATAAAAGAAGAATCACTCTCTCTGTTTTGTTTTGTGGCCGTTATATCAACAATGGTGATTTTTAGTCATGATTCTTAATGTGTGAATATCCAATAGACATAAATAAGTATTACTTGGTATCCAAATAGGTTGCTAGTCCACTTCGATTTGAAGACGTTCAGACCAAGTGAAGTGAAAAGGGTGAAGATAAGTTTGGCTTGTGTTTTTGCGTTTATGGGGATTGGATGGCCATTGATTGTGTTCAAGACAGGGATCTTGGGATGGGTAAAGTTTTGGTTGATGCCATTTTTGGGCTATCACTTTTGGGTAATACTACTCCCTGGTCTCCT